TTATAAGATAAATTCATTGTTGTTTTTTCTCTTTGCCTCTTTTTCAAGGGTCATCAATTTGTTTTGTGTTGGCATTGACGGACGTATCACTTTAAATAATTGCCTTTCATGCTGTGTTATGGTTTGTTTTCTTGTGACAAGAGGCGTGTTAAAACACACTGAATTTCTTTCAGCTTCAGAGCCTCAGCCACAATGTGATCTTCACCCTGGACTCACTACTGAAGGGTGATTTGAAAGGCGTGAAAGGGGTAAGTTTCACTCTAAAACAGTTTCTCTTCATACCTTTGTTCTCTCACTTCCACCCCCATGAAACATCTCAGCAGTGCAGTAGGGAAAACTGATGCCTCATCGGCACATCTCTCAATTTGTCGCTCAACTTGTGTGCATGTGAATAAGAGAGATGGGGGAGTTTGAAGTACAGCATTTTGTTTAAAAGATCACATTGTAAATCTTGCAGAAATAAACACTCCTTTTGTGTTGTGCTTGAGGCGAGTGGCGAGTAACTGGGTCACAAACGCTTGATGTTCAGGTTACAAAGAGGGGCGTGGCACTTGATGGGGGTCCAAGGCATAAATTGTGAGAAGAGTGAGGCATTTGCCTCGTCCCTGGTAGCGAACCACTTCTGCATATCGCTCTGTCACCACGGTTACCTCTTTATAGCTTGCTGATGCTTGTTCTCCTGTGTTTCTGCAGGATATAAAGAAGCCTTTTGACAAAGCATGGAAAGACTACGAGGCCAAGTTGTAAGTGGATTAGTAAAGTGCACTGTTGTATTAATGCATATTTGCACTATCTGGCTCATTGTAGTTTAGTGAATAATGGATTAAACACTGCAGAAAATATAGTTTGGATTCTCTATCAGGGTTGAAGAGGTTGCTACACTGCACAGAGAGCACACTGTAAAACACAAACTTAGACACATTAAGTGAAAAATGTGAAGAAGAGATAAATTAATGATCTCTCCTCTGTATCAGTACAAAGATAGAGAAGGAGAAGCGAGAGCACGCCAAGCAGCACGGGATGATCCGCACCGAGATCACCGGAGCTGAAATCGCTGAGGAGATGGAGAAGGAGCGCCGTCTGTTCCAGCTCCAGATGTGTGAGGTAGGTACTTGGTATGAGTGGGCCATATCATTCATGATAATACCTGTACAAATTTTTATGTGATTAAAGATCAAATTAGTTCTGATGAAGGGAGGACTTTGGTAGTGTGGAAGAGGTATGATAACATTAACTAAAAGAAAAAGAGCTATGGCACTACATCACACAAGCTCTGTCATCTTGTAACTAGAGTGACAGCAAGTACGTCACATCAGGGTCTGATCCCACTGAGGCGGCAGTGATTAATGTGTCTAAAAAAGAAACTGTCTCAGGTTTTTCTATGTTGACAGATGCGGATTGAAAAGGTGTAGTCACAGTCAGGTGGAGAGGAAGAAGTCACAGCAGAAGAGAGCAGATGACGCTGGCATCCAAACACCAGTCTGAAATTAGTTTGATAATCACAGGCTTCACACAGATTCTACCCAGTATGGCCTCGTGATGTAGATGTAATCATTTTGCCTGATTGCTACCTTTGATTATGACCTTTGCATAACTGTGTGCATTTAATATAAGTGTTTTGGGATGTTTCTCTGGTTCCGTAAACTTGTTTAAAGCATGTTGTGACACTGAATTCTCTTTGGTATCAATTCTCAGTGGCTGTACTTAAAGAAATCTGACAGCTAGAATTAAGTGTAAAACAGATCTGAGGTCTTTATGTACCAAGAGAATGAGAACAAACAGTTAGAGCTCACTCTGCTTTGCCAATAACCTCTCTAGTGGTGGGTGGTGGTGCCTACGCCTTGTTTGCTGCTTTATTCTGTTAGGATTTTTTACTTAAATTACATAATAGACCAAAGACTGTTCTACCGCTGCTGATTGTGTGAATTATTCAGTACAAAACTCGCTGCCTTCCCTTGCTGATCTGCCTTCTTCTCACAGTGACCAGGAGGTATTTCCTTGCCCACATTTTCCACCTGTGTCAAGTCAGGTTTTTTTTTAAACAATATTTTTCTAGAAAGTGATAAGTGATGAAACAAGTGAAACAGATGAGTGTACAACCGATGAAACCAGCATGATAGCCACAGAAGCAGCCCTGTGAGGCCAAGTGCTAATGCTAGCATACCGTTATTCACTCTCTTTAAGTTCTGTTTCTAGGCTACACTAAATTTCTGAAAAATGTCAGGAGAAGCCTCACCATGTTCAGCAGCTAGGAGCGAAATGTGTCTGTCTGCTTTTTGGTGCTTTTAGAGCTGGAATCCGCTGCCTGCTGGGGACGAAAACACGATCGATGAGACTCAACTAAGGCAATAAAATTCTGGCCACATAGCTTAAACAATGAACTGAAACTAGCCATGAAGCTGAGAGATGCAGAAGATTCAGGCGATAATTCTTTGTGGGGCTCCTCACTGTGTTTTCACATTTGTCATTTGTGATAAAAATCTTGACATCTGCATCCAGTTGATGCTGGATCCCAACAGTGAGTTGTAGTTCCCACAGTATCTTAGCACTGGCTTCCTCATTTGCTGGCTGCCTCAAGTCCAGATTGGATTTAAACTTTCTAATCATCTGCAGACTCAGAGCACTGAGTGTTCATGCTCTGACTCACCGTATGATACTGGCTTATTGTGTACTCACAGCACTGTTGCAGTCCTCTAAGAATAGAGCTGTTTCAGAGTAAAAACCCAAAACAAAAGTCCTTTGTGGTTTTGGCCACTGGTTAGTAAACCAGCCTCACTGTAAATGATAGTTAAAGGACTGTGTGGCTGGAAGAGTTTATTTAGCCCTCATTCATTTTTATCTTCCAATCCATATGTTCCATCTCAACAGACAACCAACCAACCCACCAGATATATTAAAAATGAAGGGAATATACTGTATTTAAAGACATAGGATATGTTCCAATAAATAAAACAGGAATGAAAACAGTCAAAGCCATAAAGCAACATATCTTATGAATGACTTTAAAATAATAATCATTTAAGATGGGTATTGTCTGTGTTGAGCAGCCTAATGCCAGAAATAATATGTTACTTAAAAATGTTACTTACTTTTTGTTGTTGTTTTCTCTGCCACCTGCTTTATCTTATCAACTTCTAATGTATATAGAGTTTCAGAACTATCTACTTCAGATAGGGGATTGTTAGATCATATGGATTAAAGCTACTGTCAGTAGGATTCTGCCATATGAAGATTTATACTGTGCGACAAGATTAATTAGTTATCCATGGCAGCTTTTTCTTTTTACATTTCTAGACTGTTTAAGCCATCAAGAAAGAGATCAGCTTTATGGAATAACTGTATTTTTTAGCAAACGGTAGAAAATGAATGAATGAATGAATGTATTTTTTAGCCCTGCTGGCACTTGGCTCTAGCTGACCACTTTTGTCTAGAAGGTACTCTATCAATAAAGAAAGGAAACCAAACAAATACAAACCTCAGAGATTTACTAAATCAACAGTCATCCTGGCTGGAAATACCAATGGTGCTGTTGTTGTGTGTGGGGAAGTTGCTGCAGTCAGTGGTACAATCTGTTCATCCCACTTAACCTCATTTCTCTCTGCTGCCTGCACTCTCTCTGACCGATCCTCTCTCTCTCTCTCTCTCCCTCTCTCCATGTTACTCAGTCACCAGACTGCAGTATGCTCTCACACTCTTACCCTTTTCATCCTACGCAGTGAGTGCAGGAGTGTGGAAAGGCAGGGCTCGGCAGCCTGCATTATGTTCTGTCCGGACATGGCAGCGGTGTAAATGCCGCTGTTCATTCACACAAAAAAGTCCAGACACGCACATGTGGCACTGCACTCCATAATACTGAGCCCTGGTTCCCAAGGCTCAGACAAAATGTGGACAATCCCCATCCAATAAACACAGTCAGGCAGCAAAGGGGAGCGCATGCATGCATGTACAGACAGATGCATCCACACACATAATATAACAAGCAAATTGAAACTGTCGGTGTCAGAAGCTGTCATAGGTAAAATTTTACTGTGGAGCTGAAAGTGGTGTTTAGCAGTGACTTTGTAGATCTTTGTGCACTGGCACACTGTGGGATTATCTCAGATTATTTTTTATTTGTTTGTCTGGTGGAAGTGCTCTCTGAAGACATTTGTTTTGAAACACCAGACACATGGACTGAGCATACAGCCTACAAAGCACTTACTCTGGAGGCTGTCTTTTAATGCTAATGTAAAATACTTCTCATCAGCCTATTGTAACTTTATTTATAGCACTATTTTATTTTACTATAAGGCATTTTTCTTTTGCATTTACCAGTTTGGTACCTGCTCCCACACTGTCAAGGCAGTCTTGGCTCTTACATCTAAGGATTCATAGGGTGTATATGCACTCAGATGTAGTTATCACAATGCAAAGTGTTCATACTTTTAAGTGTTTATGGCAAAGCAGAAGTCCTTTCTTTGTGTAACAGCACTGCCACATTATATTTTACATCAAACCCACAGAATCTCTTAAACACACTGAATTTCAACTCCTAGTTGAACTCTTTACCTCTTTGCTTTGCAGTACCTGATCAAAGTGAATGAGATCAAGACCAAGAAAGGAGTGGACCTCCTCCAGAACCTGATTAAGTATTACCACGCACAGTGCAAGTAAGTACCACCTTAATCCCCAAACCCTCTTTGCAGCTCTTGATGTCAATTTTCTGTCTCCTGTATGAGTCACAGATCTTGAGGGTGCACAGTCTTATGTGTTAAATAAATACGCACAGGTCATCACTCAGATATGTTCTATGGGGTTTGGTGAATAAATAAGCAGCCAACTCGAGCTTGTTGATTCTGTCCAGGTTTCCCTCAGCCTTAAAATCTGTCACCTTCTTAATACCAGACCACAGATCCATCACATCATTTTCCTGGAACTCGTTCTCCTGCAAGTCTTTGCTCTCCCTCAGTCTCACTTTCTCTTCCCTCTGCATACCCATCAGTAGGTCTCTATCCCCATCCCTCCAGGGTCACTTCTTCCTGTTTAGCAGTTCCTTCAGGTCACCAATGGTCCAGGACTTGTTGTTGTGGAAACACGTGGTGTTTGCCAGTTCTAGTGAGGATGGTGTTGTCCTTAAAGAAGTTTATGTCTGTCATGGAGCTGATGGCATTTCAGCGGGCTTACAGAGTACTTTCCAGTCTGTTTGGTGGGGTGTAGAGTTTGTAGTCTAGCAGTGACAGAGTTAATGTCATCACATGCTGTGTTGGCAGCAGCTGATGGCGGGATGTAAACAGCAATGTCAATGGCACATGTGATAATGTGGATGCAGAGACACTTTTTCACATGGCCGAGATTACACCATCTGTTGTTAACAAGCACAGCAATCACCCCTCCTCTCTTCTTACCACTCTGCTTACAGTCTCTGTCGATGCATATAGTCAGATCTGTGACGGTGAGTTAGAGTCTGGACTATGTTCCTGGAGCCACATTTCTATAAAGCACATAATACTGCATTTCCAAAATTCCCTCTAGGTCTTAGTCAGAGCACCAAGCACATCCATTTTTATTTTGTTTTCTCAGTTTGACTCTGGTCCTGCATCCCCTGCATCTTATCCTCAGCTTGTTGAGAGTTCGGGGCCTTGCTCTGGGAAGTGTGGGTTTGCATAGTGCGATCAGACAGTCGAGCATGTAACCAGTAACCCCACCCATATTGTCATGGCTTCCTGGTACAAAAATGTAAAACAAGAAAAAAGAAAACACCAGCAGACCCAAGATTTTTCCTAGCACAGGGGACATAAGCCTGACTTGACTTGTGACACTTAACCCTGAAGGAGGACTGAATGCGCCCTTTGGTGGTATAAGGTCTTGACATGCTATGCATACCATACCATTTCTGATGTTCAGGAGGAATGAAATAGAACTGTAGCGGCCAGCTGTGATTTCTGTGTTAAGAGGCAAAGGCACAAAAACAAGCTGGACTATACTTTCACTCTACTTCCTCTGTGATCATCATAGAGGTCAAATGATGCGCACTGTGACACCTGACATCTGCAGAGTAGTAACTCCTATGAATAGCTGATCTCGTGTATCACATTTCTTTCACTGAATGTTCATTTGAGTGAGACTCATGTGTACCTCTGTTCTCCAGTTTCTTCCAAGATGGCTTGAAGACGGCGGATAAGCTGAAACAGTACATTGAGAAGCTGGCAGCTGATCTCTACAATGTAAATACCCACACCATCACTGACTCACCACTATCTTATTTACTCTCCTGCTCATTTTTGCATTTCATATTTTAACAGAGTCAATCATCTTTTGCATGTAGCTGTACGTGCATACATGCACTTTAGCTGTGGCTGCCGGGGACATGTTTTTTCCTCTCTGAATTGAATCTGTACAGTTTATCTGAAAGAAATCTTATCTCAAGGTTCACTTACTTTTTCCCTTATTTCAGCAGATAAGGTTTACTCACACTTACGTGATTAAAAGCTCTGGAGAAGGGTAGTAAGGACCTTGGGTTGTTGAGAGTTGTGTCTAATTACTGTTTCCAAAAAATGAAGTTTCACACTCAAAATCTGTGTTTCAGATAAAGGTATTTGCATGAGCGATACATGAAATGGTTAGAAAATGTGTCATATCCATAGTAATAAATTAATGGTACATCAAATTTAGTACTCCATCGCAAGCAGACTTTTGAAGATGAGCCTACACTGACTGCTTGCCACTATTTTTTATTTACAGTACTGCTGTGCTTTCTCCTGAAGCAACAATTTTGTCATAACATAACATCCCTGCAGATTTTAAACTAGAGAGGTTGACTCATCTGCAGTAATGTCATGATTCAGAATCTACATAAAAATAGCAATCCTCACTTATCCAGTCCTTCTCTGGGAAAATGGAAGTCAGATAAAAGACCCTCACACTGTGGAGACTGCTCCCAATAAATCTAGTTTAACAAAGGAATGTCTTGATCTAACAGATATTTGACGGTGCCTGGTGCTCTGTTAAATTTGATTTATTGGGAGCTTTCAGTACATTGTATGGATCTTAAGTCAGATTTCTGCTTTAAGTTTGTTGTTTAATCCAGCACCTGCTAGTTTTGCATTTGTGCACACTACACTTTGTCACTGCCTGGGAAAGTAACACAACTCTTGACCCTAGAGTGAGGGATAGTTTGTAAAGAATGCAGTGAGAATAAGCGTTTGTAAATGGATTGAAATTAGTTTTAGGCCCTATGAAAAAGAGGTGGCAGTCTCTTGTTTCTCTTGGTGTATTGTTTCCTCACCTTTACATTTTCTCTCTGCAGATCAAACAAACTCAGGATGAGGAGAAGAAGCAACTCACTGCCCTGCGAGATCTGATCAAGTCCTCTCTCCAGCTGGACCAGAAGGAGGTAGGCAAGCCCCACTCAGCCACACAAAGCCAGACTTTTATGTGTGGCAGGTCTTGTAAGGCTCGCCCAAAGTGAGGTAAACGCAGTCACGACAGACCTAAGTCGGTCATCCCAGTCATACTGTATGTAGGCCTTTTCCACTACAGGAACTTAACAACCCATGACTGAACATTAAACCCATTGTGTTGCTTTCTGCTTTTGTTTCCACTGTTATCTGCCCACCTTGTCAAGAAGCATCTCAAGTAATCCTAAATTAAGTTCAGTATACTTATAGCTGGAGGAAGTGGTTGCTCACGGGGCAGGTGTTGTTACACCTCAGCTACAGCAAACACAACAACATAGCAGGAAATCTCTATTTAATTTGTGTGCGTACATATGGAAGAAGTTTTTTATGTTGAATAACGACGAACACAAAATAGACAAATTTCAACATCTGTCTTGCTGTTGTGGTTTTAGTAACGTAAGTCAGAAGTGTGTAATACATCCATGTATTCAGTGATGTGCACCTGTTTAATCCGCCTTTGTAAGATACAATGGAAAAGCAAAGCAGATCTGACTACCCTACAGGTTCAGGTTATGGGAAGTAAGTTCTGTTAAGTGTCTTTAGTGGAAATACAGCTATTGGAATCCCCTTTCCACATTTTTACCATGTGATCCCTCTCACTCTGGCCACTAGCAGATTTGGAGCTTGCCTCCTGCAGCACAGAGTGCCCAGTGCTGTACCATGCTGGAAGCCAGTGTGTGGTAGGCTTTGCTGGTGACCAGTGTTGTGCCTCACTGGCTGCTCGGTGGAGAGCCACTCACTGCCCAGCTTAACACTACTTCACACACACTTGTTTTACTTGTCAACATGGCCTGCCATGGCTGTGTGGTGGTTTTCACCATCCCTTCAGTTTACATGTTCACAATCTCAGTTCACTGGAACAATTTATAGTCGTTCACTTTTACACACATCATTTGTGATAAGCACTTCTCTTAGCAAGTAAACACTTGAGATTGTGGTTTCAGTTGGCACACTAACAGAAAACACACACTTTTTCACACCCACCTCCTGCACCTGAGCTGGATCTTTCACACCTCTCCCCTCTATCTCCCTCGTCTGCCTTCTGCTTGTCTGGAATAAAGTCTAGAAGAGTAAGTGCTGGTGCATGTTGAGCATGCTGACATCTGTCTGTACTGCTTGACAGTAGAGTGGTTTGGCTCTTTAGCAGTGTTGCAGAGCATGCCTTGTAGATTTTCTTTGTCTGTTAGCCCTCTGGTTTGATGTCAGAGAGTCAGTTTGTTGTATGTGTGCGTTGCACGTCTTGAAGCAGCTTTCACATACATGCTCTGTTTTTGTGTGTTTATCGATTTTTATGTTTGCATGTATGTGAATGTATTGTGTGGGTTTGCACAGGATTCGCAAAGTAAGCAGGGTGGCTATAGCATGCATCAGCTGCAGGGAAACAAGGAGTTTGGCAGTGAGAAGAAAGGCTACCTGCTGAAGAAGAGTGATGGGTAAGCTGCTTACACGTCCCTAGTGCACCATTCATGTAGCAGTAAAGTTTAAAGAAGGAAGACATGACAACCGCCTTACAAACTCCCACAGGCTGAGGAAGGTGTGGCAGAGGAGGCAGTGCTCAGTGAAGGGGGGCATCCTCACCATCTCTCATGCCACAGTGAGTACAAGACAAATGTGCACACACTCAAGCAGACTCTCTAACCCCCAATAGTGACTGTGCAGATCAAAGGCAGAGCATCATGCGGGGAGGTCGTGTTGGGCTTTTTCAATCTGGAGGCTGGCAGAATAGAATTGACATAGATGGGTTGTCATGGTAACAGTCTCCCCACCCCCCACCCCCACAGCTTCAGTGACTCATCTCAGGCTGCATGTGAGCTTACAGTACTGTATATGCTGGCACATCTGTAGTGTTGTCTTCAGTCATGTGCAGCAGCAGATGTAGTTTGATGCCTTGTTCTTTTTTCCTGTGCTGAAATGTAAAACAGCTCAGACGTGAATTAATTCTATAGCACTGTCAATCTATAGTCTGTCATTCTATAGTCTGTCATCGAGTTATAGCCCCCAACTGAGCATCAGATAAAAAAGAGGTACTGGACCACAGTACCTTCAGCTAATGGTGGCAGAGCAGTGGTAGGTGCCTCATCAGACCCAAATAATCAGTAAATGATAATGATAACACTTCAACACTTCAGAGATGATCATCTCTGGCAGTGCATAATGATCATGACTGCTCAATTTTAATGTTCACATTTGCTGGGTGTGAGCATAATTTGAACGTCAACACGTCTGCTGGTTTAAACATGAACACATCATAATCTGTCTGCGGGAAGAGGCTCAGTGCAACGTGGTTGCTTTATTGAGTGATGATGGTGGTAAATCTTTACCCTACAGTCTCTGTCTTTGCTTGTCTTGTCACTGGTAGTTATTTGAGAGCTTATAATAATTTTTTCTGCCTCGAGACAGTTTAGCACAGCTGAAGATTCCTTTCTAGTTTGCCTTTGCGGCTAAACTCTAGGTGACTCTAGCTTGCATGGTAGATTGCCAGCAGACCAGCTGAGCTCCAAGGCTCACCCAGTCTGTTAACATTTCTTTAGCACATGCCCCGGCCCCTTCTCAGCCCTGGCCCTGGGCACATTATTACAGTGCACAGCCCAGCCAGCACAGTCTAGTTTCTTAATGGAGACTTGAGTTACTGTTGTCTGTCTCACAGTTTTGAACCTCTGGACAAAAACAATTTGAAGACATTACCTTTGGCTGTGGGAAACTACTATATGTTAGGCTAAATTAATATTTTATTGTGTCATTTGAATTACCAAAGTCTCTACAGGCACGCTAGCTGCTGTGTGAGGCTGTACTAAAAGACAGTACCAAAATTCAAATTTTATGAGTGTACAGCTATGCTTTTGGCACCGGTACATTCTGCAGTGGCTTGAGCTAAATAATAACAAGCTCACAGTGATAATGCTAATTTGTTTACAGTTACAATGCTGTGTAAGTGTTTAGCAAATAGGGTATAATAGCATATATATACTGTAGCCTACACTCTGCTACTTTGAGTGTCTGAGCTCTGAGTGTGTAAATATACTCACTATATTGTGCACTCAAAAACTTTGCAGTGTCCATAGCATGTGCACTCTTATATATAAAGTGACTTTTCTTTGCTCTAATGTAAAGTATTGTAAATGGAATATTTTTGGCTTTTGGACACATTTTTGATATTTTATTTTTGATATTTTATACACTATAAAAAACACACAACAAATGTATCAATCAGTATTTGAAGCCCTCGACAGCAGTATTTGTCTGTATTTGTGATGAGACTACATCTGCAGTATCAGCATAATAACAAAGTTGTGTAACCTCCAGGGTGTAATATTGTGCATTGCTGTAATTCAGTGTTTTCAGTCTGGTCTGTATGTTTGTGTTTATAGTCCAACAGGCAGCCGGTCAAACTCAACCTGCTCACCTGTCAGGTCAAGCCGAGCACTGAGGACAGGAAGTGCTTTGATCTCATTTCTCGTAAGTTTTACACACACATGCAGCACATTTCACCACTGTACATGTCAGCGTGTAAGTTGATGCATTGCTGCTTATTAAACAACAACATTAAGGAAAACGAATCTATGGTTGCACAACGTTATGCCAATTTTTGTGTGGCAGATAGCACATAGACAAGTGATGCATTTGAGTGTGCTGACGGTTACTTCTCATTAAAATGTGAGATAAGAAGTTTGCAAATTTAGTGCTGCGGTTTCTGTTTTCACAGATAACAGGACATATCATTTCCAAGCTGAAGATGAACAAGAGTTTGTCATGTGAGTAACAGTGCACAGAGAAATACATAATGATGTTATGCTTGTTTTTCCTTTAAGACCAAAGTAGCTTTTATCATTATTTGCTGAGGTTTATGAGTTTATTTACTGCTCTATAATCTGAAGAGGCTTTTTTTTTTTATATCTAGATGTTTAGTTTCAGAGAGCTGTCAACAAACGTTTTTTATTAATGGCAAGTTGTTTGGTGGCTACGCTGTTATGTCATTACCCTACTTGAAGACAGGAAGTGTATGAAGAGCAGAGTCTGTTGAGTGTGGGTGACAGTGAGGGTACCAGTGGGATTCGTGGTCTGCAGTAATCCAGGTCACTGTGACCCCACACTATTGTTTCTCATGCAGATTGGTACGTAGACACACATTACCAGAGCAGTGACAATTAAATAATATGAATATGTATTATTCATGGAAGGTTATTTTTATTCTGGTGCCTAAACATTTTTAGTGAAACCCAACAATGAAAGAAAATTGACCCAAACACACACCTCCAGCTGCAGCAGCATCTACACAGGATTTGACATGAAATATTTAGTGTTTCATCAGGTTCTTGCTTTGGGCAGTCATGCTTTCCCTTCATTATCCTGGGAGCATATTATAAGTAAACACAAAACCACTCAGCTGTTGTTGAATATAATATCCAGTTTTTTGTTTTTTTTTACACATTTAGATAAACAGACGATCTAATACATCAATTTGTGTGCCCACTCTCTGTCTGGCCTGTGCCTTTGCAAACAGGGTTGACTGACAGTGATAGAGGAAGTGCTGACACCAGGCTCATAAAGCCCTGTGTGTGTCTGTACATCTTTGTATGGTTGTCTAGACAAACCCCCATTGTGAAGACATTTTGGCCATTCCTCAAAACTTCAGAGGGCTCTTTGGAGGTTATAAGACTATTTGATTTAGGGTTAAGATTAGGTTAGAGTTGGGCCTAAGCATTTAGTTGCAACAAGTAAGAGTTTAGGAAATGCATTCTGTCACTGAGTGTCCTCACACCTATAGAAAGACGATGAGCCAGTTCAGTGGGTTGAGTGTGCCTTGTAGTGAACTGCAGGAGGTCATGTTCGAAAGGTATCTGCAGTGTTTCCTGTCTGCATGACTCTTATTGACCACACTCAGTACGTCTGCTGCACCTTTTCAAAGGAAATGCATCTGCACAAAAGACAGTCGTAGAGTAATTGATCCAAACAGTTCAACAACAGCTGTTTGAGACATCTAATTTTAAAACTAGTCATCATTACTGTAGTTGTAGAAATGCATTCTCCAGACATATTTTGTGTAGTCTATTGCCTCACAAGATTTGGCTAAAGGTGTGCTAATGTCTTTTCTGACCAATGCAGCTCATACAAAATCTTTGCTTTTCCACCATTTGATGATACAGTCTTGGGTTTGTGGAAATTGACAACCTAGTCATTTGTAACTATAATTATCATTTCAGTAATTTATTCATAAATTTCTTTAGCTGAAAATATTAGTCATCTGGAAAAGTAACTAAGTGATGAATCTTTTTTAAAGTTATTTATCATTTTACATAGAATATTTGGGGGTTTTGAACTCTTGGTTGGAACTAGCGCACCAACTTTTAAGAAATTATGATGCCATTTGGTCACAATTTTCTGACTTTTTATTGAGATAAATGAATCCTCAGATGAAATTAGCTGCAGCCCTACATTGGCCCTTTAGTACCTATACTCACCGGTGTTTTAATGTTGTTTTGCTTCTAGTATAATAACTTTGGAGCTGTGTTTTAAAAGCACTTGATAAATAATTACTATTAATGATGTCATTCCTCATGCAGCTGGATCTCGGTGCTGACCAACAGTAAGGAGGAGGCACTGAACATGGCGTTTCGTGGTGAGCAGAGCAGTGGAGGGGAGGATGGTTTAGAGGACCTGACTAAAGCCATCATAGAAGACGTGCTGCGCATGCCAGGCAACGAAGTCTGCTGCGACTGCGGAGCTGCAGGTGTGTACTGCAGCTTTTTGGGTGTCCTGGAAGGTTCCGTATACATTATATATACATCCTCTTCCTATTTTGTGCTTAGTCAACCCTAAGCTTAAGGGAATAGACAAACATTTTCATGTCATCATTTTCTGATTCAGCTTAAAGCAAAATTTTATTTAAATCCACAAATCAAACTTGATATCTTTACCTTAATGTCCCAATTACCTTTGACTCAGCGTTCTTCAGTTTGATGGTGACTGAACAAGCTACACTGCAAATTCCCCAGCAGCTTTCAACAAATAAGTGTGTGTGCGCTAGCTTTGTTAGCATTCAGGACACAACCTGATCCTGATCCTCCCCCGCATTAGGAAGCAAAGACTCAGCACTCAGGAGTGCTATTGAGGCCCTGTGACACTCATTTCACACATATACAAGCACACACACACACATGCACATACTGTCCTCTGTCAACACACACACAGTTGCTTGGGCCGACGACAGAGTTTTATGCTCCTGGGGAGAAAACATTTCAATGCTGTGAGAAACAACATTATTACATCATGTTGTTGCATAAGTCACACACGCTCCGTTGACCCCTGAAAACTGCAGAGAGGGGATGTTTGTCACATCCATGCTCTTGCTGCTGAGTCCATTTGAATACCTGGGTTCTGTAGTAACATGTTTCAGATGTGCATTTAAGCTGTTTGATCCTTTTTGTTTTACATTATCAATAAAAACTGATTTTTAGCTTTTGCTAAGGTGATGTCACCCAACTCTATTATGGCTCTATCTCAACACTTGAAATTAACTTCAGTGTTGGAATGTGACTTGAATGGATTTCAAGGGTCTCTATCTTATTTAATGGACCATAGGATACCCAGGCTTTGAAGCCTTAACTTTAAGCAGTGTCACTGTACATCCACTCATCATGCTTATCATGCATTTTGTGACCTATTACCAGCTGGCATTTCTTCACTGTGTAAATGTGTGCACGTGTGCCTGTCTGCTCTCTGTGTTTCTGTGTATGACTCATCGGTCTTTGGGCTGCCTCTAATGTTCCCACTGGCCTCTGCCTGTTGTTCACTTGTCATACTCAAGCAGAACAACATCCCTCGCCTCACAGCATCCTTGAGCAACAAAGCTGAGTTTAAAGCTCATTTAAATCTCCCAGATTGTATCAGAACATGGGGTGGTGATGTCGGTCTGTCACAGTGGAGGTCACTGTGCAAAGTCGCCGCACTGCTCTGCTGCATTCCAGCATGCTTGTGCTGTTTGCTTCGCTGTATGTTATGCAATAGACTCATCTCCCTCCTGCAGCATGATGTGGTCGCAGTCTGTGCCCACTACAGTCCTCTAGTGGTCTGAAGCATGTGTTGTTAATTTGGAAACAAAATCATTAAATGCATTCAATAAACAAGCTTTGGTATGAGCATGTACTTTATTTTAAAGCAAGCTTCATGTCTAAAATTACACTAGTCTCATCAGCCAAAATCACATTTTTATCAGGTGTAATCATTTTGTCATGAGACAAGATTACATTACTTTATAGGTATATGCATATCACATGTAAATACAACCACTATTTATCTGACTGGGATCAAAAGATCATCTATTTAGTCAGTTTTGTTGTTTGCTGTCTTCAGGTTTTTCATACTGGATTTGAAAATGCGGCTGTAGTCACAAATTCTTACAGTGTCCTGTTTGTTTAAGTCCGGTCTGATAACTTTGTACTTCATTTCAGTCCTCCTCAATTCAAGAGCGATTGCAGGAATAGATCAGTTGTAGGGTCACTGATGAGCCAGTTCCTCATGAGCACCCTTTGAGGACTGGAATACAGATATTACAGTTGTTGTGCCTTGTGCTGCATTTTACTGGACCTACAACAACTCGTGATCACACTGACTGTACTTGACTGCATGCTGTAGATTGTGGCTAGCATGCCTTTCCTATTGTTGTCTGCGTTTATAGACCCTAAATGGCTTTCCACCAACCTGGGGATCCTGACCTGCATCGAGTGCTCTGGCATCCACCGAGAGATGGGGGTCCACATCTCCCGCATCCAGTCTATGGAGCTCGACAAGCTAGGAACCTCAGAACTCTTGGTGAGTCATTTTGTGCAGAGAAAGGCTCTGTATGCTTTCTATTTTTAGCTCTAGTGAAATATTAGTAATAATCAGAGAGTAGTGGAAACACAGGAGAGAGCAGAATTTGGTCCCTAAAGCAGAAGGGATTCATACTCCCAGAACCAGTGTGCTCATCTGGCTCTGAGCACATGTGAATGGTGTTCATCTTGTAAATATTACTATGATCGGATGCTGACCTTTCTCTTTCTCTCCTGCAGCTGGCCAAGAATGTAGGGAATAGTCGTTTTAATGAGATTATGGAGGGGAACCTCCCCTCTCCTTCCCCAAAGCCCACTCCCTCTAGTGACATGTAAGTACTTTTAAATAAAAGCTACTGGGAAACTAGATTTGTTGTATGCCCAAACAACTGCTCTGCTTTTAAAACACAATACTTTGGCCACAGGACAGTGAGGAAGGAGTTCATCAATGCTAAGTATGTGGACCACAAGTATGTGAGGAAGACATGTACATCTGCGGCAGCTAAAATGATTGAGTTGTTTGAGGCGGTTCAGTCCAGGGACCTGCTGGCCCTCATCCAGGTTTACGCAGAGGGGGTGGAGCTTATGGAACCACTGCCAGAGGCGGTGCCGGTGAGTTTGATGTTTGAATTTGGGGGTAAATCTGACTTTCTGAGCATGCATTCTGCTTCTCCGTTCTGTTACGTGATCGTCCTTGATCCTCGTTTGACGTGGAAGTCGTTTGGTTGAGTGAGAAGTGAGGACTTCCCAATACTCCTACAGTACATCTGCTTTGACAAGCGAGCAGACTGCTGGAGGACACATGAGCAAGGATACATGAGAGCATACTTCACAGAATTCTTATGGACCAACACGAACTTTTAGTGGAAATCAGTCTGTGATTGGATGCTTCAGATGAAGAACTGAGGAAAGCACATCTCATTCTTGAAAAAAGATTTCTGTCTCCTTGCATTTTTTCCTCATATCTTACGTGGGCGGCACTAAGACACAAGGAAAAAGACACAAGTGAGGGAAGCGTGGGCCCATATAAAAGACTTGGAAAGCAGTCCAAATATCCCTCACATGCCTCTTTCTCCCTGTGTTTTTGTCCTGTCGACGTAAGAGGCGAGAGAAATTAAGGAGTCGTCCTTTCCTCTGATCCTTTATGTGACGTGTCCAGTCACCAACTGATTTCCAATAAAGGGGCATGCTGGTCCATTAAAGACTTTAGCGAAGGATGGCTTCATGTGTTCTCACTCATGGCTTCTCCAGCAACCTTCTCGCTCTTCAGAGCAGGAATAAGAGCTTTGGGACGTCATTCAAGACGTTTACCGGGCAGAAGGTAGGGGAGGTAAACATCTAATGTGAGTTATTGTTTAAACATTTGACTTTTGGTGTCTCATGACCCTTTCACTCCCCATGGATAGATGATAATCAGTGTTGTTAGTGACTTGTCAAAAATAGTTGTAATGCAGAAATGGTTTGGGTCCCATGCTCTACATTTTGCAGAAAATGCTGATTTTATGTGCTGTGTTTTCTTTGACATTCATCCCAATACAATGGAGGTAAATGGAATTTTATTAAGTCCTCAAATAAAAAAATCAAAACACACACAAACTGTGGTTCTCATTGGGTCTAGGTTTTGCCAGAGGAGTAGCCTCAGTGTAAACCTTTGACAGTGTGATCTGTGGATTATGTAAAGAAACTGCTTTTGGAGAGATGTGCTGTATTAATTTGAACTTTTTAAATGTTCATTTTATATGATGCATTTTGGTAATTTGGGTGAATGGTCCTTTAAATATTGAACCTTTCTGAGAAAGCTCGATGGCTCATTTGGCTGATTTTCATATCATATAACTTTCATATTATACATGATATGTTATCAGGATTCTTGGCTTCATGTCAGCCTGCTTCCATAATCTTCACATGCATGCCTACAGTATATTTCTGTCACACTCAGTCATCTCAGATTTGACTAAAAGGCCTCAAAAATACCTCTACACATGTTTTTGCAGCAGTTCATCCACATGTGAAGTTTAAACTCATCAAGACAACCACATTTCTTCCACCTCCATCCAGATAACAGCAGGTGGTCTATCCAGCAACATACACCACATTTTCACCACTTCCATCAGATAATTACATCTGTGGTGGATCAACTCAAGTGTTTTTTATTCTGTGTTTCAGTGCGTTTCCTCAGCTTTTGCACCACTAGTTTAGACATGAATGAGAGTTAAATCACAAGCAACAAAAGTTAGAGACTGTAATTTAAACATGGGTGATCAGACTTAACCTGACATAAATGGGTCATGGTTTTGTAACATAGACATGGTTTTTCTCTGACGAATTAAGTGTACAGTCCTGCAACAGAATAAAAGAGGTTATCATCTGGGGACAGAGGGAGCGAATGCTGCTGTGCTATCAAGTCTGACTCACTGATATCTGATCTGCTGCTGTTAGTATATCTGAATGGCTGCAGACAGCACAGTGACATCCCACTCCCCCTTAAACCCAGACACAGACAGCATGACAGGAATGCATGACTAAATACAGCCCATACTGTACTGTACCACACAGATGCCAGGGTGCCACCAAATATACAATACATGTAATTGCTACTTCCATCTTTAATGTTGTTAATACACCAAATCAGATGAAATTATTAGAAATCTCAGCTTCAGGCCTGCAGAAATATTATTTTTAGGAGGTGTTTTGTTTATTGCAGCTTGTTTAAATGCTGAAAAAGAGACAGAGAGGGAGTGAATGCAGAATGGATGCCAGCCAAGGTTGTCTCACCATGTCTTTGCTGTGTTTGACGGCCCCCTGCAGGAAACCGGGGAGACAGCACTGCACTACTCTGTACGGACAGCTGACCAGACCTCACTGCACTTGGTGGACTTCCTTGTGCAGAACAGGTACATTTTTAATAGTCATTTGCATGAGAATAATGATTGTATAAATGTAAGTGTGTGTGTGTGTAAATTCTACTATCAAAGTATGTGAACATAGCTTTTCATTTAGCTTTTCACAATAAATAGTTAAACAACTATCAGTGATTTTCAGTAAAACTGTGATAAACAACACAGTTGTGTGGAAACAGGCAGTATCATATTTGATCTCTCTGTCTGCTGTTAGTTTTTTCTGTTTTGTGCTCTAGTCTCAAATAAAGCAGTGGAAGTGCAGGGGAAGCCATAGTGCTGCAAAGCTCAGCTCACATTCCCACAAGGCAAACAGAAATGGGTCAAGCACTTGTTCTCTGCCTTAATTTATTCCTCTCCTTTCAATTGTTTACCCACCACTGCTCCAACGGCACACAGCCTGCACACAGAACAAGTGGGGCCCACTCATTAATTAATAGCTGTGCTCATACGGTGTCATTCTTAGCTCTCATTATTTCAAATATTTCTCTGGGAGCTGCAAAGGGTCTAAAAGTGATTTACCCACTGTAACATGGTAGCATGACATTTGTTTTTGGTTTGATTTTCAAAGCACACAATTGTCTTGTGTTATTTTCTGATTATTATCTTATTCCTTAGATACCATATCTGGTGTTTTTATGACTGATTTCTTTGCTCACATCAGACTTTTAAAGGAAAAGACAGATCTGTGTTGTTTCCAACCACATTACAAAATCCTGGGTTATAGCACATTAACCTGAAGCTGCAGGACTGTACAAAACATCCTCAGGCTTGTGCGCTTTGTCCTGACTTTGTGTGTGTGTGTGTGTGTGTTTCTCCAGTGGCAACCTGGATAAGCAGACAGAGTGGGGGAACACTGCCCTGCATTATTGCTGCATGTATGAGAATCCCGAGTGCCTCAAGTTGCTCCTGAGGGGCAAGCCGGCCACTGACATCAGTGAGTCACATGTGGAGGCTGACCCTTTCATTAATGTCATCTGTGCACACATATGTGACTCTAACTGTTGATTTTCCTGCCACTCCCTTCAGCCAATCAGAACGGAGAGACAGCACTGGATGTTGCCAGGCGACTGAGGAACACTCAGTGTGAGGAGGCAGTAAGTAGAGCTCAGCTGGACCTTGGCGACGTTGTAGACGATTTTAATGGTCTATAAAGATTTCTACATATAATTTAAAAAAATGTTGATAAAATCACACAAGTGAAACAAACAGCTATGAGGGATTAGACAAGTGTTGACCATTTACTGGGCAGATTAGTCAGAACACTAGATGGGAGCCAAAGGTCGGGCTCCCCCTCAGGCAGCTTTGACAGCAGAGTGGAAATAATTGTTGATATATGTGTATTATTTAGAACATTAAATAAAAGATTTATTATAAAAAGCTACTTTAAATGTAATGTGTAATAGCTAATAAGTAGATGAACAAAGAATCCTTTTTAAACCTGGCAAATTTACTTGAAAATAAATATGGACTGACCTGACTTACTGCCACTGTATCTTAATCTTTTTTAAATATGTGGTTCTTGTGATTTTTTCGTTGTGTTTTGTTTGGTACTCTAATTATTTTGAGTGCCATCATTTATCAGTTTCAGTTTATCACATGAGAGAATTTGCTGCTTTTATTTGACATACATCATTGTAAACTGAATGTCTTTGGTTGTAAATAAACTACTAATGAAAATAATCATTAGTTGTGGTCCTAGATTTTAGCTACTGTAGTTTGTATGTAAACAACTGATCATTGTGTGTTTCTGTGTGTGTCAGCTTGTGCAGGCTGCAGAGGGGAAATTCAACCCTCACATCCACGTGGAGTATGAATGGAGTCTCAGGCTGGAGGAGATGGATGAGAGCGATGACGACCTGGATGATAAGGTTGGAACAGAGATTCATAATTCTGCTAATGGCACAGTGTCAGAACACAAAAACAGCTGCTGTATTATTTTAGGCACCCGTTCATCTGTCATTTTTATCCTCCTTTATTTTTGTGATTACTAGTCTAAATTCATGACACGTTAAGATGTTTCCATCAAAGCTTTCATATATAGGAATAGATATGCATTTCCACATCAGCACGTCAGATTGTCGACTGACTGACTTCACATAATGCTGCATTTGAATGTTTCCAGTCTAGTTTCAGAGCACACCACAGACCTGAGACTTCTTAAGGTGGTAAATGATGCCAATCTAGTCTAGTCCTCAAGGCCTCCATGCAGAGTTTGACACAGTTGACCACTCCATAGAAAGAGCCACATACTGTATGTCAGCTACTTATTGTAGCTTCATTACACCATAGAATAATGCAGCCAGGACACATGATGCATAAAGAATTAAATAAGGTGGGTTTTTAATTAAAAGAGGTTTTAATGTACATGTCTAAATGTCATTTGACTGCAGTTCATCAAATCAGTCCTCACAGGGTTAATCGCAAACAGCACAACACAAACAGTGTAAGAGGATGGATTTCCCAGTGTTGCTGAGGTTGGGTTTCAAATCACTCGGTTGCAGATGGACTTTCCCCAATGTAAAGCATCAGCATATCAGTTTACATTGTTGGCTCTGCAGAGTCAGAGACCAGTGGGCTCTTCCTACAGTCACAGTTTTATACTAACTTCATTTATTTAAAGGCAGAAATACAGGACGAAAGCAATTTCTTATTTGTTATATGCAACCTAGATGTCTGAAAATGCGAGGTCCCATTTGCACATCCAGATACTGTTGGAAATAGTGTTTGTATGGAAGCGCCAAACAGGTGACAAATGAAGGGAAAACACAATACGAAGTGTCTCAGTGAGGTGTTGGGCCATGTTGGTGCCACCAGAACAGCTTCAGTGCACCTTGGCATTGACTCTCCAAGTCTCTGAACTCTACTGGAGGGATGAACACTGTTGTTTCAAAAGATATTCCCTCACTGGTGTTTTGATGATGGTGGAGGAGACACTGGCTAACACGTTGGTCCAGAATCTCCCATAGGTGTTCATGGTGCTGTGAAGACCAGTAAATGATTCACATCAGCTCTGCTTCTTTCTAGACTCATGTCAGCTCAGTTTCATCTGTTGTGTCCATCCCCAGCCGAGCCCCATCAAGAAGGACCGCTCTCCGAGGCCTCAGAGCTTCTGCCACTCCTCCAGCCTCTCCCCCCATGACAAGCTCTCCCTGCCAGGCTTCATCAGCCAAAGAGACAAGCAGCAGCGTCTGTCCTATAGCGCGTTCAACCAGATGTACAGCGCATCCACCGACCTCAGCTCCTCTCCTGTGGCTGACGGGCCACCTCTGCCACCCAGGAACCAGGGAAAAGGTCAGGGCTGCCTGCTCCAAGTGGCTGTTGAGCCTGCATCCATTTTTAGACAACGTTCAGTTTTATCATTCTCTAGCTTATAACCATGACAGATAATATTCTGCTAACATCTCCTTTGCAAATGTTAGCCTGTAATGCAAATAATCCAGAGGTTGTCTGTATGCATTGCTGTGTTCGATTACTAGAGAGAAGATAGCCTGTGGATTTGATGTTATTGTCTGTTAATGTTTGATTATATGCAGGACAGCATTAGCTGCAGAGGAGTGCTTCCTAATCACTTCTGTGGAAAGTTCTACACGCTGTCAGTCCTCACACGCGCACATCCACATTTACACCCCCTGCAGTGGTATGCAGTTTGTCAGCACAGAGATCACAGCGTGGGAAGCAGGTGTCATTAAGACTGCTTACAGAGTAAACCTTAGAAAGAATATGTAGCTATAGGAAAGGGTAGGGAGGGAATGGTTAGTCAGGCGTGTGAAAGAGAAGCTGGATACACGCGCATGCAAAATATACACACACTGTATGTTGTTGGCTGCTGTCTCTGCACTATTAGAATTAAAAATAACATCCCTCCCTCTGTGGCGGCGTTAAACCCTGTCAATGACACTTTTAGTAAGTGGTTTGAAAACCATGCAAGAGCTGACACTGCTCAAACAACTATCCTAGCAAGTAATTTAATCCAACATTATTAAATGTTATTTTTCTTAATACAAGAGGAATGAAATTTCGCCTGATTCCAGTGTAAATGAACATGTTTCATTTGACTCCCACTCTGCACATATACAGTTTAATGATGGCAGATATACTGCTCAAAATTTGTGGTAATATTTGAAACTCAGTTCACTTTAGTATTTATGAAATCAGAGCTAAAAATGTGTTTGGCGAAATAATGTTAGTCAGTCTGGAGTACAGATGTAAACAAACCAAATAAAGAGAAAGATGGAGTTGCTAATTACCTGTATTGCTGGTTTTGGAGGTAATACTAAGAATCGGGGTCTAAATTCAGTTCCTGCGCCCTTACAGGTCCCTGATTAGCTCCTGGAGCACCTTTGTTCCTGGCACTTGAAAAGGAGACACTAACATTTTTGAATAGTCTCAGGAGTTTTTTATTTCACTTTTTTCCAGTTACCTAAAGGGATTAAAATAGCACTGGAAACAAGTGGAGTTTTTAAAGTTTGATTTATGTAAAAATAAGATTAAAAGCCTGAACAAGAGGCTAAATGACATGCATGCATATGGAACAACTTGTTAACTCTTGAGCTGCTCCAGATAAGTGGTCTCTCTCAGTGGATGCTGAAGAGCTCTCCTCCAGGGGCCAGCTTCACATGGTCTCTCTGCACTTTGCTTTGCTTGCCACTGACAAGATTTCACCTTGTTATGTTATAGCGTGTGGGAGCAGCTCTTTTTAAGACTGACATACTGTAGATTCTCTCCCACACTCCTCATCTCGTTCTCTTTTCCTTCTCTTTTTTTGTTTCTCTATTCTTTCAGCTCCACACTTGGCATTCCTTGGCTCTCATTCGCACTATGCCACACTGGCTGGCACTCAACCATACATCAGTGAATATCCTGGTTTTATGTTCTCCCCTTTACTCGGCTGTGTGCCCCATACAGGTTATCTCTCAGTTGTTTCATCCTTTACAGCTCAGGTTTAAAGGGTGTTTGTTTGAGTAAACAATGGGACAAGCTACATGATTTTATTTTTGTAATCATGTCCTACCATCCCTGAGCTGTAAACTCTTAGCACAGCTGACTCCTCCCTGGCTGAGCTCTCTATTAGCTGCTTTCATCCTGCGTTTGTCTGTAATAGTGACCAGTGAGCGCTTTGGCGTCCCAGTAGACACAGACAAACCAAACTGATAGAAACACCAAAACACAGTGTCCTTTATTATTAAAATTATTATTACATTTTTTTATTTTACATCCCCGTCCAGAAGTTTGTGTTATATATTTGTTCACACAACTTTTTCCTGTTGGTAATAGCACAACTTTTTTTATATTTTCTCCTCCTCCACCTCACCTTCATTTTCCTCTCCCCTCCTTCCTCTCTCTGTTGTTTTGGGGGTTATATGTTATATGTTTTATGTGTTGCTCCTCCAGCTCCTCCCTCTACACTCACACCAGGAGGCAGCTCCACCCTGTCCAAGAAGAGGCCTCCACCCCCGCCTCCTGGACACAAACGCACCCTGTCTGACCCACCCAGCCCGCTCTCTCACAGTCCACACAGTAAAGGGTGCTTGACTGGGGGTGAGACACAAGCGCACATAAATAACAACAGGGCTCCGGCCTGAGTTTATGTTATTTAGGAGGAAGTTTTAGGAATAAAGAAGCCCTCACAGGATGGATTTCACAAATGTTAAGAGGTTTTATCTCATTAACACCCACACATAAAGCACACACCCAGTACTGCACAAGTTTTCCTCACTCAGGGTTAGGTAGAGAAATAATAGGATCTAATAATAGGAATAATAGGAAAGTGAAGCATCAGTTTGTTTAAGTCTGGATGATCTACACTCAAATTTATCCTTTAACAACCTGGAGACAGGGAAGGAGATCAGCAACACCTCACTCATCTCATTTGCAATATTGCATCTATTATGTGTGTGACAGGGACATTTTTACTGTTATTATGTTTGTTATTCTTTGTCCTCTTTGGTGTTTTGGTGCCTTCAGTGCTAGACATATTTTAACACCCAAGCAGTAATTATAAATGATGACACTTTATATTATGCAACATCAGTTTTCATTTAACACGGGCTCATGGAAAGCTCAGCCAGACGACTCCTCCCTTATTGTTTTCTTTAACCATCACAGCATGTTAATTTATTTCCACATTTATAACAAATTTATTTCTGGTTAGTGCTCTGTCGTGCTGTCGAACAATCTGTTTGTCGTTATCAATGTCAATATTTTAGGAAGCGACTCCACCCCTCCTCCTGTCACCAAGATGTCTCCGGTTTCTAACAAATTTGAAGGCATTCCTCAACAGCAAAGGTACCAAAGAAAGACCACTGTGAAATCTGAACTTTAACTGACCTGTAATTTATTGGATCCCTTGCTATAATGTTTTTTATTTAACTTCATCTGAAAACCTTTTCCTAGCACTACTTCAAGTAACACAAAGTCAACACTTGGTCCAAGGGTTCTTCCCAAACTACCTCAGAAAGGTACAGCCTGTGTCCAGTTTAATTTTTAATGTGCGCTGTTAAAATGGAGAAGTGACTGACTAACTGACTGTGTGCTGCTCTTTCCAGTCGCGTTGCGAAAGATTGACACCATACACCACCCTTCTATGGATAAGCCCAGCCCTCCTCCAGAGGTCTTCCAGAAGTCCCCACCAGCAACTGAAACACAGCAGAAGCCCTCTCTGATGGACAGGCCTCAGCTGGGAGACCTGCCCCCCAAACCACAGCCATCTGAACTCCCCCCTAAACCCGGAGAGCTTCCTCCGAAGCCACAGCTCTCTGACCTCCCTCCTAAACCTCATCTGGGAGACCTCCCGCCCAAACCTCAGCTCAAAGACCTCCCTCCCAAGCCTCATCTCACAGACATTCCCCCCAAACCTGGAACAGCTGAGTCTGCTCCGAAGCCGCCGCCTGGAGAAATGATACTGAGGCCTCAAACTCAACCTCCACCTCCACCTCCGACTCCAGCTCAGCCTCAACTGCAGCCACAGCCTCAACCTCAGGGTTCACTGTCACCAAATCAGCAAGCACTAACAGCAATTCCCTCCCAACAACCAGCTGAAGACACCAATGGGACTCCGGCAGGAAGTGTAGAGACACCTGTGCCACTGCCAAGGAAACTCAACACTGTAAGAGCACGGTTGCTTTTTATATCAAACATCTCTCACATATTGTGCTTCTGAAGATGTTTGATGACATCTGGCATCAAGAAAAGTCTTTTTTTACAACTTGAGTTTTATTTTCGGGTGCTCTAGCCATTGGTTGTACCAGTTAAGGTAACATTGTACTCACTAAAGTCATTTTTGAGGTTTTGCTGAAAACAGGTCTAACAGGCAACAAAATACATCAATCAGACAGGTTATAATCAGACCGTAAACCCATCTTTTAACCTTGTCTACTGCTTTTTATTAGAACTCATTACACTATAAACCATTTTTAGGGACATTGTTTGCTCCCTGTTGTGGTTTCAAGAAATATTTTAGGCTTGTTTTAACATCCTCTTTGCTGGATTGAAACACCAGACCTTTGAGGAACACTCAAGTCCTCAGTCACTCCACATTTCAACCCCCTGCTATGTGTTTTGACGATTAAAAAAAAAAAAGTTAGATAGTTTTAATGCTTATGTATGTCCTTTTCCTTTTGTTAGTAGTGTGGCTTCAGTTGTTTCTAGATTAAATGTTTCCTGTTTCTCACTCAATATACACTGTTACCTGCTCAGACACCCTCACAATGTAGAAACCCACTCTGGTAGCATATTCTCACATGTGCATGGATATGTGATGAGAATGTAATGAAATGTCCCTTAGTTTAGATTTTACAGAGGATTATTTCTGAGCCTGCTGCACAAAGATTTTGCACTTTTGTTACTTTGACAGGTCTTTTTATATAAATATTCCTGAGCCATTGTAAGTAAATAGATCAGTTTTTGCTGACAATGATGCCAGTTTTGATATTTGTGTGTCCAGGGGAAGAACAAGACCCGCAGGGTGAAGACGATCTACGACTGCCAGGCCGATAACGATGACGAGCTGACATTTGCTGAAGGAGAGGTGATCATAGTTACAGGAGAGGAGGACCAGGAGTGGTGGGTGAGTCTGGCCTTACACTCTGTACTTCCCACTTTTCTCCATCTCCATTACTTCTTTGGCCTCATCTCAACCAGACAACAAACCTATGCTGCCACATTTTGCTCTTGCTTAGATGCTGACTTTACCCCTTGTACTTTCAGATCGGGCACATTGAAGGAAACCCGGGAAGAAAAGGGGTGTTCCCCATGTCTTTTGTGCACATCCTGAGTGACTGACAGCCAGAAAAACTTGCACTACACCTATCCCTGTAAATAGCTATCACAGCATCCCGTGTCACAGAGCAACTGTCCTGAAGAAGAAAAAAAAACAAGAAACCAAGGAGGCTCATTAAGCCATGGATGTCTCATCCATGCTGTACAAAAAAATGTGTGTAATCTTCCTCTACCAGTATTATCTCAGCCTTATATAGCAGGGTTGTGACAAAGCCACTCAAATCCCCTAGCACTTATCTAACAGTCTATGTTTATTGGGATACTGTGTACATATGTAAATATATATTTGTGAGTATATACATGTTTTATTGAAAAAAAAAAAAAAATGTACCATTGCTCTCGAGCTGTCAAATGAAGCATCAGGGCAATGGCGCTTGAATTTGATCTGTATTAATTTTAGTGGCCCTTAATTATCAACTATTCCTGGAAAAAAAGGACAATGTAATGTGAAATGGTTCATGTCACTCTGTCTTGCATCCCCCTTTACCACCATGACTGAAGAGGCAGGAGTCTCCCACTGATTTTCCCAAGATGGACAGAACTCCATTAAATGTACTCCTTGTTCTTGCTTGCTTTAATATTATGCTTGTTTTACAGTATAGAAACCTGCTGCTACTCTGTGGTGGAATATCCACACCTGTGGTTCACTGTATGTATGCTCTGCGTGTGAACGTCACCTCCACAGCCTGTTGACCCTTCTGTGCGTGGTGCAACCATGACTGGAATTGAGTGGAGTGCTGCATTCAAAGACACTCACCTCAGGGTTTGAAGAGCCACTATTGAACTACACAGAAAGTATCCTGTTAAAGCCACTATTGAGTACAGAGGACATCTTAGCAATAACTTGATTTTATGACAGGCTAGAAGTCTCTGCACCTGTATTCATAATTCAGTGTCTTGTAAACCTCATGAGCTTGATTTTTTTATTTCGAGTCCTTTCAGTCCATGTTTCTAGGTTCAGTACATTTTAAAGTTTGCCTATGAACCAGAGGTCTTTTAGATAAAAGGGTGGACTTTGTGAAGAACTGGTGTATTTTTATTTGGTCCTCACTGACATGCAGTTCTTCCCATGTTAAGGAATAAACCCATTGTATCATTAAAAGTGCTGTACTTAAACCCTGAGCCTTCTCTACTCACCACAAAAGTCTCTATGCTCCTTTAAACACCTGTGGTAAGTGAAGGGAAAACCTTTCCAAACTTAAATTGTCAGAAAGCCAATAAGATTACTTTACAAAAGTTGACCTTTCTTTTAAAGCTTGGACTCAATTCCTCTATTCTGAAATTTAACCTGTAGAGATTTAACCAGATTTCAAAGTGCAACTAAATTTAAGCATCAGCAGTCTAGAACACAGAATATCAAGACTAATTCTGCATGCAACTCTTTATTTTACAGCTTCACATAACACCCAATTCTGCTTTTTGATTCAATATCAACTCAGGAATACTACACAACAAACTAAGTACTTTGTATCAACACAAATGGCATCTTAAATCAAGTGTTCAAAGCAGCAATAACAAAACAGTCACCAAAAGCTCATTTAGACACTTTGTCTTTAGGTTGCAATGTGGACCCCTTCTCCTTCACCCTTTTCTCCCTCTCCCGCCCCCTCTCCACCGACTTAATGATGCCGACAGCAACAGTCTGCTTCATGTCTCTGGCTGCAAAGCGACCTGCAAATACAAGTCAGTTGTGAAACACATGTCAACATGGTTGACAACACTTGAACATTCAAGTGCATTCATACTGTACCTAAGGACGGGTATGTATAGAAGCTCTCCACACACATTGGCTTAATGGGAACCAGCTTTATTGTAGCAGCATCTCCAGACACCAATGCCTGTGGCTGGTCCTCCAGCTTCTGACCTGTGCGGCGGTCAAGCTTCTCCTTCAGCTCTGCAAAACAGCAGGTGACATGGGCAGTGTGGCAGTCCACAACAGGAGAGTAGCCGGCTCTGATTCTCCCTGGATGGTTCAGGATGATCACCTAAGAACACACACACACACACACACATCAGTACAGGAAATGGCTAAAATATTTACTTTTGTCAATGTTTGAACTTCTCACCTGAGCCTCAAAGCTGCTGACAACAGATGGAGGGTCCTGGTGGGCATTTCCAGCCACATCTCCACGCCGCAGGTTCTTGACATTCACATTCTTAACGTTGAAGCCTACGTTGTATCCTGGCAGAGCTCTCTGCAGCCCCTGATGGTGCATCTCAATAGACTTCACCTCAGCAGTGACCTTGGGAGGAGAGAACATCAGGACCATGCCAGGCTGGAGGAAACCGCTTTCAATCTTGCCCACTGGTACAGTCCCAACTCCTGAATGGTTGAACAAGGAGCATTAGCAGTCACTCAACACCTGTAGTTAGTTTTAAAGCCGTTTAATTGTTCTACAAACATCTACTCCCTGCTGCACACCTGGACCTCATTTGATTGAAGAGCTGAGTTTACAGGGAGTGAAATCAAGAAATCAAGTAACTCGTGCACTCCTGACCTCCAATTTTGTAGACATCCTGCAGAGGTAATCGTAGAGGCTTGTTTGATATGCGCACGGGCGGGGGAACGACAGTGTCCAGGACCTCAAGTAAAGTGTTTCCACGTACAACAACTTTCTTTTGTCTGACCCTCCAGCCTTTGAACCATGGCATCTGTAGGAAGACAGTACTTTAACGCATTGCATGCCAGTTGCAGGTGATTTTACCTTCTCAGCATCTTTACCTTCTCAGACGCAGAGACCATGTTCTCTCCGAGCCAGCCAGAAACCGGGACAAACGGCACCGCGTCGGGGTCGTAACCGATCTTCTTGAGGAAGCCGCTCACACCTCGCACCACTTCTTTAAAGCGTGCGTGGCTGTAGGGTGGTTCGGTCAGGTCCATCTTGTTCACGCAGACTAGAATTTGCTTGACACCGAGCGTGTAAGCCAGTAAGGCGTGCTCTCTGGTCTGACCACTTCTGGATACGCCGGCCTCGTACTCGCCTTTCGCCGCGGAGACCACCAGGAGGGCAACATCAGCCTGAAACATGGACCAGTCGGTTAAAAACCAGCCTGTGCATCGAGAAAGTGTTGAACGGGTTTGTGCTTTTCACCTGTGATGTCCCTGTTAGCATGTTTTTAATAAAGTCGCGGTGGCCTGGGGCATCAATTATAGTGATGGTGTATTTCTGTGTGTCAAACTTCTGCATGGAGACGTCGATGCTGATTCCACGTTCACGCTCAGCTTTCAGCTTGTCAAAAATCCAGGCGAACTTGAAGGAGCCTTTCCCCATCTGGAAATGGGAAAAACGTTGCAGAAACTCTTAACATTAAATTAAACCGTAACGTTGGTGTCTGTCTCACCTCTTCTGCAACTTTCTCAAACTTCTCCAGTCGTCTCTGGTCAACTCCACCACATTTGTAGATGAGGTGTCCGGTGGTGGTCGACTTACCACTGTCCACATGGCCGATAATCACCATGTTAATGTGAGTTTTAGCTTTCTCCATGGTTGAAACTGGATCCACAAACTAAACAACTCAGCTATAACCGTGGAACCAAACCAACACT